CTTTTCGAGTAATCCTGGCTGTCCTGAAACTTTCTCTGTAGACCAGGCTAGCCTCAAACTCGGAGATCAGTCTGCCTCTGTCTCCTGAGTGCTGGGATGAAAGGCGTGTGCTGTCAAGTCTGTCCCAACATTCTTTTTCTAATGTAAAGGAGAATAAACATCGCGGTGAAAAGCAATTGGCTATACGCAGTCCTCGTTTCTTTAGCTTTGAGAAAAGTTTGAAAAACAGTAGACAAAGAGGAGGAGAGACTAAAAGCCAGAGGGCATGGATGGCACCAAGGAAGCAGCCTTCCCGACAAAACAGGACCGGCCCACGTGTGAACTCAGAGACGCTGGCCACATGCACAGGAATGTACAGCGCTAAGACAGATGGGGTCCCCGCACCACCGAGAGCAGAGGTGGACAGGTGCTTCCTCTTCTAACCCGGAAACTATCTCCATTTGACAACTCCTCAAAAAAGGAAAAACTCAGTTTTCCCTAGCGCAGTCTCACTGCAGACAAACCACATCTAGGGGAGCCCCGTGCCCAGCTGCCGATGGCCAACCTAAAACAAACTCAATGGCACTTGTGGAGATGTTTCGTTTCATAATGGCTTTGGTTGGTCTTTGGTTTTTGGTTTTTCGAGACAGGGTATTTCTGTGTTGCCCTGGCTGTCCTGGAACCTGCTTTGTGGACCATGCTGGCCTCAAACTCAGAGATCTGTAGCAAGCTTTCTTGTTGGACTTCCTTGGACGACCAGTCCGCAAATAATGACACAGTGATTTATTGTTAATTATGAAAGCTTGGCCTTTAGTTTCAGGTGTGTTCCCAACTGGCTCTTATAACTTAATTACAACCTATCACTGCTTCTCTTAATCTACATTCTGCCACGTGGCTTTTACCTTTCCTCAGTACAGCACTTGCTCCCCATCTCACTGGTGTCTTTCCACTCCTCTCTCACCAGAAATCCTGCCTGTTCTCTCCTGCTTAGCTATTGGCCATTCAGCTCTTTATTAAACCAATCAGAAAGTGCCTGGGCAAAGATACAGCTTCACAGTGTACAAACATTTCGCAGCAGAGGCAACAGAGATCCGTTTGCCTCTGCCTCCCTAGTACTGGGATTAAAGGTGTGTTCCACCACTGCCCAGCTGTTTTATTTATTTATTTATTTGTTTGTTTGTTTATTTTACATTAGTTGTCTTTTGCTTAGCTATTATGGTATCCGATTTTGTGTTTGTATGTGTGTGTGTGTGTGTGTGTGTGTGCACACGCGCGTGCATGCACGCGCAATTAAGGAGGCCAGAGGATGAGCTGTTGTGATGTTTTAGGTGCATTCCACCTTTGTTTGTGACATCAGCCACTAATTCAGAAAATGCCCCACAGGCTTGCCCACAGGCCAGTGTTACAGAAGTGTTTTCTCGGTTGAGGTTCCCTCTTCTCAGATAGGTCTAGGTTTGTGTGTCAAGTTTACAAGAACCAACCAGTGGAGGGTTCCACTTTGGAGAAGAAATTGCATAAGCACTGTATTCACAAGGAGGAGAAATTCTTGGTCAATTGATGGATTTATTTCTCTCTTCCTAGACCCAGTCCTTGCAGAAATCTCCCAGAACCTCTAATTTTCCTTTTGTTCCCCTTCCGTCCAGACTCTGATCTGTATGATTTTGACGGGGAAGTCATGAGATGCTGTCACCAGCAGTTTTATACAACTAATCTCCATCACAGAATCTTCCTCATAAAATACCATCTGGTCCAACTGACCTCTCACCAAAGGTCCTACTAAGGTATAGTGAGCACAGCGTTTGGGGTAGTCCATGGGGTCATAGCCCAGCAATACCTGCCCCTGTTGTAAGTAGTTCAACTTAGTCCGAGCAGAGCCAGTCCACACTGCTACCCGGACGACTTTCTGTGGCTTTTCCAGGACCACCAGCAAGTAGTTGCCTTTTTCAGGGTTCATGACCCATAAGCAGTCATCATTGAGAATGTAGGCATATTGTGGAATTGTATTCCAAAATGAGAACATGTTCGTGAAGACCGTAGCAACAGGGTTGTCTGGTTCTCCCAAGTCTTTGTCTTGCCCCACAGGAAAGCATGTGTCTTCAAGATCAGAGTAACTGCCCATGTGGTAGAAGATGGAGGAACTGAAGTGAATGGGAACATTTTGAGACAGGAGAAGACTGAATTCAGAGAGAAGCAAGTGAGTGGGAACGTCCATGGGGAAGAGGAGCAAGAAGGTGGTCAGGCGGGGGAGGTCCCTGGTGTGGAAAACCTTCCCAGAGATCTTCATGCTAGAGAAGTCCAGGGTCACCCAGGGGAGCTCTTCCCAGGCTAACACGGCCCAGTAGATGTCAGACACAAACCTGGGGGCACACCTCACATTATCTCCTAGCAACAGGAAGTAGTCAGAGAGATTGCTGGCAAAATTCATGAGGAGGGCAGAACTTGTTTTCTGCCTGGAATAAAGCGCTTCACAGGGTGAGGTATGATCTACACTCTTTGCTAAGGAGCCACCAAGCAGACCGTGGACCACTGCCAGCCTCCCGGATTCAATGTGCGGCAGAAAGAGACCCGAAATGTTAGCAACTGTTTGGTTGAGCCATGTGGGGTCGGTGTCTGACAGAAGGACCAGTACCAGCATATATTCCAAGTCTTCTTCTGTGGAAGCTTGGAACAGGGACTTCAGGGTGTCCAAGAGGTAACTGCCAGGGGTACGCTGCACTGAGGAGATCCCCACGGTCAGCATCCCTGAGGAACACAGAGACACACACCCTCAGTACTTCAGCAAGGTGGGTGGGTCACAGGACTTGCTTCCCAGGTCTTCACCTAATGCCAGTTCCCAGGCCAGGTTCGCATCTGCTTCTCGTGGGAGTATAGGGCTGTGGGAGATGAATACCTGCTCAAAGGTATGAGTCTCACTTGCTCACTCAATACTTTGAAAGGCTCATAGGAGACGCTTCACAGAGGGTAAGGCTCTCTTTGGTATGGAACCATGTAGCTATTGCCATGTAAGCCAGTTCTCTTAGCCTGGCCTTGACCATTAGAGTTATCTCAACTACCGTGGACTACCCAGTCCTGGACTAGAGCATCCTCAAGTCCCTTTAAATCCTCCTGTCTTGCCAGTCCAGTTCACTGAGCTGTGCAGTTCAGGGGCCGGTGAGTTCACACTACCTTCTTTTTTGACTACCCACCTCTTCCCCCACCCCTGTCCCAGTCTTCCTGGTTCCGCTCCCATCCATCTTCCCTTCCCCAGAAGCCTGGCATGAATGAGAATCACCACAGGCTCCCTCACAGCGTCACTCTGGCCTTTGGGTCCTGCTGGGCATTCAAGGGGGATCGGGTAGGAGGAAAATGAACCGAAGTGGAAACCTGGCTGGCCCTCACTCAGAGTACCTTGCTTCCCACTAGGTGCCAGCTCTGTCCTTTAGACCCCACTCTCCTTTTCTAGATGAAAGACATTGCCTGGCCGTTTCCAGGTCCGATGGCCCCTTCCACATACTCACACCTTCCCTGGAGAGAGGTTCCAGCCAGGAATGTGTAGTTGGCATGCTGGAGTACACGGGAACTTTTCTGCATCTTGGTGAAGTATTTCAGATGGTTCTTGATTTCAGAGCTGATTTGCTCCTGAGCTATCTGCTGTATTATTTTCTTCTTTTCATTCTGAATACAAGATGATATATTATCAGCCCCAAGGGTGATTCTTAGGATCCTCTGGAGACAACTGGGCACGTGTCCTCTTTAGGGCAGATTGGATGACCCCAGGATCCATTACATGGAATCTGTTAGGGCCCAGCTTTCTGCTCTCCCCTCCTGGTCATGACCTCCCGCACCATCCCCCACCCCCAGAACTTGCCAGCCACAGCCATGTGGCCCTGGAATCCTGTAGAGTGAGAACCTGCCCACTAAGAAGCCATTGCCCACATGTCATTTCATTACCATGGGTCAAGCTGGCAATCATTGTCGAACTTGACTCAGGCCTCTGCTGGGTTCTGAAAGACAGAGCCTGGCCCTGTCTTTAACGTCTGTGCCTCAACCTGAAAGTCCTTTCGCTTGCTGAGTCTCACTACACACAGCTCTGCCTCCCAAAGCCTCAGCTGCCCCGGGTGTGTGCTGAGGTTCACACTGGGGGAAGTTACTTCCAATATTATCTGTCATGGTAGGTGTGCTGAGGAGGTGGCAGCAGACAGGTGTTCCTCATCACCTGTGTCCTGCTGGTCAACACCTCCTCCGAAGGTGCCTGTGCTTTCTCCATGCCTGGAATGCCTGCCCTCTTCCTGCTCTTCCCAAATCCTATAAGTCCCAAGTCTAGTCCAAAGGTAACCTCCTCTCTGACACTGTCTGGATTCCTCAGACACTCTCCTTTGGCATTGCCACGATGAGCCTAGGGACTTTAACCCTCTCTTGTGAAGGGTGGAGACGCCTCTAGCCCTAGTACTCACCTGCAATGTGTTATACTCGACACGTGCTGATTTATTCTCTCGAATAAAGAATCCCAGGATGATGAAGGATGCCATGACTCTGATGCATCTCCACAGGCAGCCTTGCATGGTGCCAGGAGCCGCTGTGGAAGGAAGCTGAGCAACAGTAGATCCCGAGGGCCTCCTACTCAGAGAGCAGGGGTGCCCTTCCTGCCTGGCATGCCATGTCCTGAGCCCACCCTTCCCGGACTGAGCGTTCCCAATACCTGATTACTGTCTTAACCTTTTTTTCGTCCAGATTTTCTCTTGCCCCTGCTTTTAGCCATCTCAAGAAAGATAACACACAAGGGCTTCATTCTGTGGAGCTCCTGCCTTCTCTATATCCCAGGGGAACTGGAGAGGATATGTTTGCAAGAAGAGGAAACAGAGGCTGTAGGTAAAAGTGCTTGCTGGCAAGCTTGATGACCTGAGTTCTATCCCTGGGATCTCCATGGTGGAAGGAGAGAACCAACTCCTGGAAATTGTCCTCTGACCTCCACGCGGATGCCATCAAGTGCATGTGCCTATATATGTGTACACACATACTTAAGAAAGAAGTAAGTAAATTCACAAGTGTAACATGTCGCCTGCAGGTAATAGACTTTCTGGCACTTTCCCGCTGTGTGAACTCTGTTCCCATAGACCTTTGTTTACTCCCTTGGGAGAAATGCCCTCAGCAAGATGTTTCCTCCCCTATCCTCAGCAATGCAGCTTAGTGTGCTCAAGACATTATGTAAACAGTCCCCATTTCACTGTGAGACCTCCTGCAGCCTGAGCACATCTGGTGATAGTGATGAGAAATGGTATGCTTGCCACTGTTTCTCTGTGAGCTATCTGGAATAAAAGTTTCACAGAATTCTGGTAAAGGCACTAGCCTAAGAGTCCTCTGGTTCTGTTCAATCTCAAATTCAATTTCAGTTCCTTGGCAATGGCCACTGGCAGGTTGTGATAGTAATAAACTATTTTTAAAATGTGTATAGGTATTTTACCTGTAAGTATGTCTGTGTGCTACATATGTGTCTGGTGCATGCAGGGGCCAGAAGAGGGTGTTGAAACCCCTGGAACTGGAGTTACAGATGGTTGTGAGCCACTGTCTGGGTGCTGGGAATTGAACCAGGGCCCTCTGGAAGAGCAGGCAGTGCTCTTAACCACTGAGCCTGTCCACCTCCATAATACTTTTTTAAATGGCTGGGGTGGTAGTGGCATACACCTTTAATCCCAGCACTCGGGAGGCAGAGGCAGGCGGATCTCTGTAAGTTCGAGACCAACCTGGTCTACAGAGTGAGTTCCAGGACAACCAAGGCTACACAGAGAAACCCTGTCTCAAAAAACAAAACAAAACAAAGTTTAAATGAAGAGGAAATTTAGGGTTAAGTGTTAACTATATTCCCTCCCAAGTACCAAATTCAAGCCATCTTCCTGTGGGGATTAGTGATAATTAAATTAGATCTCATCTCTCAACTCCATACTTACTTTTGGGCCTGATCCTTTCCAGGGTTATGTTAAGTAGACAGACAAGGTTTTGGGTGAAGTCAGAAGGACTTGGTGTATCTACATCATGGCCGACTGCAGGGATCCATATAAACCTGGAAGAAACCAGAAATTTCTATTCAGGACCACATCTTCACCAAATTTCCAGTGCAAAATCCACTGAAGTCTTTCTGACCAGCAGAAAATGCTGCTTGAGGGTTAACTGGAGTAGGATTTTCTCTGAAATCAATAAAAAGAAAAAAAGAAAAAAAACAACCCTTAATGTTGAAGGATGTAGTCCCAGAGTAGCTCCTCTGAGGTTGCTATAGCTAGTCACTCCTCCCAGGAAACCTCACCTGACAACCATTGTTCAGCCTGAATGGGTGCTGGGTGTCAATCTGGCCTTACATCAGACACCTGCTACTAGGTGAGGTGGGGACATAGTTTTCAAACCAGCCTTTCAGTCTTGTGTCTTGAAATTGGAATGTTACCTGCTAGTTTGAGTCAACAAGTATGGATTGTGAGTTATCCCTTCCTTATCAGAGGGCCCCATGGGCTGGTCAGCACTGTGTGTTCTCCCCTGCTGTCTGTGCTACCTGGTGGATTACCACAAAACTGTACTCAGACATCCAGCTCTCCTAATATCAAATTCTCCTTTGGACTTAGAAGTGTGCAGTGGCCCTCTGAAGCTTCCCTGTATTTCTTTTTATCTGTTCTTTTTCACTGCTGGGACTGTATTTCCAATACTATTGCTTCCCCCTCCCCCATGTGGTAGTCTAAATGAGAATGGTCCTTGTAGGCTAATGTTTGAATACTTAGTCCCCAGGTGAAGGAACTGTTGGAGAAGGATTAGGAGGTGTGGCCTCAACAGAGGAGATGGGTCACTGAGGGTGGACTTTGAGGTTTCAAGAGACTGGTGCCATCCTCCACGTCTCTCTACCTCATGGTTATATCTCAAGGTGTGAGCGCTCAGCTCCGGCTCCAGCTCCATGCCTGTATACCTACGGCTGTGCTCCCCACCATGATGGGCATGCCCTCTAACCCTCTGAAATGCTAAGCCCCAAATAAACTCTTTCTGCTATAAGCTGCCTTGATCATGGTGTCTTATGACAGCAATAGAAAAGCAACAAAGACACTCCTCCACCTCCCCCCTTCCTTTTCCTCTTCTCCTTTTCCTCGTCTTCTTCCTCCTCCTCTCCCTCCTCCTCCTTCTCTTCCCTCTTCTCCTCCTGGTCTTCCTCAAAGTTTTACAGTGTTAATTTTTTTTAACCTTTAGACTTATGATTCATCTCAAAATAATATCCATGTATGGAGTGAGGTAGATGCTGAAGTTCTTTTTCTTTTTCTTTTTAAACTGATACCCCGTTCTTCCAGTACCACTGTAGAAAGACTCTGTCAATTCTTGTCACATCTGTTACTGAGCATGTTTGCGTCTATTTTAGTTCCTTTGAACTATTTGACTGTCTCTGCTGTTACACACATCATCTATGCTCCCCTCTCGGTTGCAGTGGTGGGTGGTTCCTGTGCATCTTCTTACCGATGTGTAGGATGGGTTTTTATATGGAAGGCACCTTGAGGTTCTAATCCTGTTTATTTTCCCCATAGATGGCTGTATTAGTTATCTTACATGCTGGAACAAAAACGGCTAACAAGAGAGATTTAAGGAAGGAGTAAGTTTATTTTGGCTCACAGTCCAAAGGTAAATCACGGTGGTAGGAGCTTGAGGTGACCAGTCACGTGACATCAGTTAGGATGCAGAGACAGATAAATAAATGCCTGTGCTCAGTTTGCTTTCTCCTTTCTATTCAGAGACCCAAGCCCATCGAATGGTACTGCCACATTCAGGGTAGGTCCCCCCGCTGCAATTAATGTAATCTAGAACATTCCTCACAGACATGCCCAGAGATTATTCACATGGTGACTCGGTCTTGTCAAATTGACATCATTCTGGGGTGAGGAGGTGAGGGGGGTGAGAGGGGTGAGGGGGGTGAGGAGGGTAAGGAGGTAAGTTGGGGGGGGGGGCGAGGCACATGTCTTTAATCCCAGCACTCAGGAGGCAGGTACAGGCAGATGTTTGGGAGTTTGAGGTCGGCCTGGTCTGCAGAGCCGGTTCCAGGACAGCCAGCGCTACACAGAGAAACCCTGTCTGGGGGGTGGGAGATTAACCATCATACAGGTCACGGTGGCATATGCTCCCAGTCACAGGAGTTGTAAGCCAGAGGCATTTTCAGTGCTGCCACAGCCTACTTCTTGTATCTCACAGATCGACTTCTCCATACGGGTTGGGGAGAAATGCCCCATAGTTCCCATTGGCCTTTCTATCTACAAGAAACTCTGAAGGGTCAACTGTATCCTCATTGCTATAGTTGGCACCTGGGCTATAACTTGATTCCCATTTTAAGTTCCTCTTGCTGTCACCTCAGCAGGTCTTGGTATCATGTCTGGTGATGTGATCCAAGCCTACATTACAAAGAGTCTGAATCTTTGTCAATGACCCCTTTGGATTGGGTTTGCTGCATGTATCTATACCTTCACATAACATACAAATATTCCATAACTGGACTTAACTACTTTGATAGCTGGACCTTGGTGGTCAGCCTCAGGAGGAAGAAGTAGCCAAATTAAGGGAATAGGTTAGCTTTAGTGTCGTAACCTAACAGTTAGGCAAGGAAGGGTGTTGCAGAACATTATTTTAAGATGTGTTACACTCGTTTGTGCTGTGGAACATTTGTTTAATGATGCAAAGATGTGTTGCATTCTTTTATGTTGCATTTGTTTAACTCTGTGAAGCTGTGTTACTGTGCCTGTCTAAAACACCTGGATTGGTCTAATAAAGAGCTGAACGGCCAATAGCAAGGCAGGAGAAAGGATAGGCGGGGCTGGCAGGCAGAGGGAATAAGAAATCTGGGAGAAAAAAGAAGGAAGAACAGAAGAACAAGGAGAGGAGGATGCTAGGGACCAACCACACAGCCACACAGCCAGCCATGGACTAAGAGTGAAAGTAAGATACTCAGAAGTAAGAAAAGGAAGAAGCCCAGAGACAAAAGGTAGACAGGATAATTTAAGTAAAGAAAAGCTGGCAAGAAACAAGCCAAGCTAAGGCCGGGCACTCATAAGTAAGAAAAGGCCTCTGTGTATTGAAGGTGGAAGTTTCTATCCCACCAGGAACTCCCAAACACCCAGCAGTTGCTTCCCAAATTACCACACAGAGCAACTACAAATTGATCAGCCAGTAACTCAGGCTTATTACTAACTAGCTCTTACACTTAAATTAACCCATAATTCTTATTATGTTTAGCCACATGGCTTGGTACCTTTTCTTGGTATAGCATTCTCATCTTGCTTCCTCTGCATCTGACTGGTGACTCCTGATTCCGCCCTTCCTCTTCCCAGCGTTCTTAGTTTGGTTGCCCCACACATACTTCCTGCCTGGCTGCTGGCTAATCAGTGTTTTATTAAACCAATTCGAGTGACAAATCTTACAGTGTACAAGAGGATTATTCCATAGCAGTGTATTTATTTGGGAGCTTGGCGGCAAGCCCCCCCCCCCCGACCAAGAGTGAAAGAGACAAGAGTAAAAAACAACCAACAACATTTTGATGTACCAACATGAGGCTCTAGAATTTCCATGTAGGGCCTGAGAAAGCTGGGGTGGGGAGAAAGAAGATATGGGTCCTTTAAGAGTTTCTGCCTGCTGGTGAGCCCTTGAGCAGCCAGTAAACTAAGCAGTAACAGAAAACTAAGTAAAAACGCCCGCCACAGCGCAAGCACTGGCTTTCTAGAGCTTTAAGAAGGTTGAATGTAGTTCTTGGTCACCTACCTCCAACATGGCCACCAGCTTCTTCTGGGTCTTTGATGGAATTGAAGACTAGATAGTTATAGCTACAGTTTTTTTCTAGTTATGGTAGAAAGTAAGTTAGGTCTAAAACTTTGAATTCACTAAGGTAGGATAGATAATGAATTATTTTCTCTGAATATGCTTACTATCAATAGACAGAATATTGTAAATGTAATTTTTACTTGATAACTGTTTTTGTTGTGTATAGTTCTACTATGTTAAAGTTAAAACCTTTCTTTTTATTTAGACAAAAGGGGGAAATGTTGTAGAATATTATTTTAAAATGTGTTACACTTGTTTATACTGTGGAACATTTGTTTAATGATGCAAAGATGTATTGCATTTGTTTAACTCTGTGAAGCTGTGTTACTTTGCCTATCTAAAACACATGATTGGTCTAATAAAGAGCTGAATGGCCAATAGTGAGGCAGGAGAAAGAATAGGCTGGCCTGGCAGGCAAAGAGAATAAACAGAAGGAGAACTCTGGGAGAAAAAAGAAAGAAGAGCAAGAGAACAGGGAGAGGAAGATGCCAGGGGACAGTCACCTAGCCACAAGAGTGAAAGTAAGATATGCATAAGCAAGGAAAGGAAAAAGCCCAGAAGTGAAAGGTAGACGGGATAATTTAAATAAAGAAAAGATAGCAAGAAACAAGCCAAGCTAAGGCCAGGCATTTATAATTAAGAATAAGCCTCCATGTGTGATTTATTTGGGGGCTGGGTGGTGGGCCCCTCACAAGAGTAAAAAGCAAAGCCAACCAACATCAGAAGAGGGAGTGGGGGAGGGCAGGACCTTCCAGAGCCATGTTTGCCATGCTTGGGCCTACTGGAGCCCTTCATTTACCAGCTGAGCCATCCTGCTGTCCCTCTAGAGTCTTTTTTATGTTTACCACATTGCAGACATCTGAATATGCATCCAAGATTTGTTGTGGGATATCTGTACACTGTGTGAAGGTGTATTGCTGTGATTGGTGTAATAAAAAGCTGAACAGCCAATAGTTAGGCAAGAGATATAGGTGGGACTTCCTGGCAGAAAGAGGAAGTAGAAAGTGAATTAAGGCTCTGGAGATGCAAGGAGACACGGCAAGGAAACAGGGGGTGCAAGATGGGAGAGAGGTAATGCCACTGATAGAACATAGATTAATATAAATGATTAATTTAAGTTATAAGAGCTAGTCAGAAACAAGCCTAAGCTATAGGCCGAGCTCTCAGAATTAATAAGAAGTCTCCATGTCATTATTTGGGAGCTGGCTCGTGGGAAAGAAAAAGACTCATTACAGT